GGTTTCCTGAGGTTTTTCTGTCTCAGCCTATTTTCCATATATAAAATTCCCCCTCCCTAAGTTACTGTTCAGAAGAGAAGGAGATGTTGTTTTGAACAAGAAGGTGGCTAGACATGAAATGATTACATAGCTCTTTCCTGTCCCCAAGATCCTATGATCATGATTCATTAACTTCTGTGGCTCTTCATTTCTTTATAAATAGGATGCCCAACATGTATGACTCAGCACCAACAGTAATTACTGGCTTAAATTAGGCCAAGGCTTTTATGTGCAGAGATCTGACTTTATAAAATAAAGTCAGATCAAAGCCGATTATCAAGGAATTTCAAACGTATTTGGACCACTTTACAGGTGAGAGACAAGCCTGTACAAAGTAACCCACAGCGCTTATGTTCAGGACCAGAAATCTGAGCAAGAGTCTCTAAAATCTAGCTGCAGAAGCAATTCTGGCAGAGTTCAGAGAACATGAAAAGCTATACGGTTATGATCTACATTACAAGGTACACCTGAGGAGAGGGACAGGAGAAGCAGACTATTCCCATAAGCAAGCTGGAGAGGGATGTGAATTCCTCTTCCACCTAGAAGTTCCTGCAAGGCACAGTCAAGGAAGCACTTATGGCAGGGCTTCTCGACTTTGGTGTAACTGAGGTGTTCTTGGACTATGACTCCCAGAAACCTAGTGGTGAAGGCTTCTGGGAATTGTAGTCTAAGAACATCAGGGATCCCAAGCTTGGGAACTACAGTACTGACTTTGGGGATGAGGCTAATAGCATATGGGAGCTCCACATGATCCAAAATAAAAGGGTTTGCCACATCTCTCTTCTGTCACTGTCTATTGCTCCCCCTGCCAGCCAGGCCTGCCACTCCATTCCTCTCCTGCTTCTACCCTTTCTAAGATATTTATCAGGATTCCTAATAACTTACCCATAATGAAGGCCCTTACCTGCATTCTGGAGGCCAGTATTCATATTTGTCAGAGACTCATGTGAACCTAGCATTGGAGCTTTCTAAATCCATTCTTCTAGTTTGGGACCTAAAGGAAGCACAACTGCATGTTTTTACTTCCTCTTCCTTTTGGGTTCCTTCCATGAATGGGACTGATCGTTATTTCAGTTGAGAAATAATATACAGTTAGCAGCATTTAAATCAAAGGCATCCTGTTAAACTGAAAGAGCTTTGGCCACACAAGCTGTTATGAAATGTACCTTCTTGCTGTCAGGAAAATACCACACTGAGGAACAGTTTCATTGCCGCCTAAGTATCAATTTCAAGGGGGGGGGAAGGGGGCTTATGGCAAAAGTGCTGAGGACTCTCTTCCTACTTTCCCCCAAATTTCAGACTGCCCACGATTATTCCTCAGCATGAGATACTTCTGACTATCTTACTCTTCATACATGGCATTACTTTTCAGATGGCAAAAAGCAATTCCATCCTTTTGGATTTTTTAAAGTGAGCACTTGAACTGCGTCACACACCTGACTATTTACAAAAATTGTTATTTTTTAAAAAACCACAGTCATGGCGGGGGAGTGCTATTTCTAGTGCAGTCCTAGGCCTATTTACTTGGAAGTAAATCCCACTATATTCTCAGCTAAGTGCCACTGAACTCAGAGGAGCCTACCTCAGAATAGACTGTACTGCGATTACATAAGATCATATTAATAAGTCTTTAAATCTTGCTATGAACTCCCCCATTCATGAAATCATAATCACGATGTGCTGTAAATCATTTCTCACACGTTAACCCTCCCAGAGTTTTTTTAAGAATAAGAGGACTCCAAAGTAGTTCACTCATCCTTCCTTCTGGTGGAGCTCTGATACCAATACTGTACAGGTTTCCCAACACCACATAATGCCAGGACATGTGACCACAGCTCAACCACACTGATGTACGAGGAGACACAGTACAGCAGGGGTATCAAACTCAATTTACTTGGGGGCCACTGGAGTCTGGGTGAGGCTGGGCCGCATCAGATTTTCCACCAAGCAGAGCAAGAGCCCGAGGAAGCCGCCCAGGACTTTCCTTAGCCCCTTAAAAGGTGGGTGCTTCTCTTGCTACCAGATCAAACAGAATCAGTAAAGGCCTTTTAGAAAGATTTTGGGGATTAGAAAGATTTGGGGATTTTGTACTAAAACTCAGTGGCAGTCATGTTAAGGCTGTAAAAAGAAACAATCCTGCTATGATATTGCTTGCTTTAGCCCCAAACTGAAAGATCTCCTGCTTATCCAAGATCCCTTATTTTACTCATCCCATTGAGCTTTCTTCTAGGACACAGCAGCCCTGCCCCACCATAGCTTATGATAATGAGCAGAGAGCACCTTTGGGATTTGGGGGTTAGCGTCTTTACTATAAACCTGTGAACACAGAAGTAAATCCATTCCTCTATCAAGAGACCTTTTCACATTTGAACAACCCATCTGCTGAGTTAGAGAATGATGCCCCACTAAAACAATCACATTCCAAAACATGAATTTTTTTTAAAAAAAAACACTCCTACCTTTCCTTTAGACACCATTACTACAAAAATATGCCTTTTCTGCATGAAATGTTATACATTAAGGTATACAAGAAACAATGCTATCAGCAGATTTTTGCTATATGGTTAAGAACAGGATTCAGAGGCATCCAGCTGGGGCACCTAAGCCCATGTATTATGTTTCCATCAAGGGCTAGTTGTGCACATTTAGTTCACTCTCAGGCAGGACATGGTGGTTGTGACTCTATCTGTTGGTTTCCAACATTTTGTGTTCCTAGGTATATGGTCTCTGTAACTGGAAGGGAGATATATTCTGCCCCTATATACGGAGCCTTGGAAATAAGGCGGTGGCCTTGAGATGCAAGCTTCCAGTGACTTGTTAAAAAGTCACATACAAACAGTTACAACCCAGCCTCAGTCTTCGAAGTCCATCATAAAAATCTCCTTCGCTAATGGCTTAGCTCACCCAACCGTTACTAGCTAGGATGACGGAACGGATCCAACAGGGGAAGGCGAGGAAAGGAAAAGGTAAATTATCACGGCATTTACAACTCTCAGGTCGCGTTTGCCTTGCAACTCAGAAGGGGGGGGGAGAGATCTTCTTGCCCGCCCCACCCCGGATCTCAGTTGCGATAGGATTAGCCAGTTTGCTCTGGAAAAACACAATGGTTATCAGCGGTCTTCTGTCCCCTAGCCAGACACTGGGGCCCCGTAGCGATAAGAGGACGAGCCCTCTCCTTGGGCGCAGAGGCCAGATAAGAAGCGCCTGAGCTTTCTTCTAGGACACAGTAGCCCTCCACCACCACCACCCATAGCATATGATAATGAGCACAGAGCACCTTTGGGATGGTGGGAGTTAAGAGTGTTTACTATAAACCTGTGAACACACAAGTGCATCCATTCCTCTATCAAGAGACCTTTTCACTCTTGAACAACCCAACTGCTGAGTTTGAGAATGAAGACCCACTAAAACAATCACATTCCAAAACATAAATTTTAAAAAAAAACACTACACACCTACCTTTCCTGTAGACACCATTATTACAAAAATATGCCTTCTCTGCACGAAATGCTATTCATTAAGGTATACTGGAAACAATGCTATCAGCAGATTTTTGCTATATGGTTAAGAACATGATTCAGAGGCATCCAGCTGGGGCATCTAAGCCCATGTACTGTATTATGTTTCCATCAAGGGCTAGTTGCGCACATTTCAGGCAGGACATGGTGGTTATGACTCTATCTCTTGGTTTCCAACATCTTCTGTTCATAAGTACTGTATATGGTCTCTGTAACTAGAAGGGAGATATATTCTGCCCCTATATAGGGAGCCTTGGAAATAAGGCAGTGGCCTTGAGATGCATGCTTCCAGTGACTTGTTAAAAAGTCACATACAAACAGTTACAACCCAGCCTCGATCTTCGAAGTCCATCATAAAAATCTCCTTCGCTAATGGCTAGCTCGCACAACCGTTACTATAGCTAGGATGACGGAACGGATCCAACAGGGGAAGGCGAGGAAAGGAAAAGGTAAATTATCACGGCATTTACAACTCTCAGGTCGCGTTTGCCTTGCAACTCAGAAAGGGGGAGATCTTCCTGCCCGCCCCACCCCGGATCTCAGTTGCGATTGGATTAGCCAGTTTGCTCTGGAAAAACACAATGGTTATCAGCGGTCTTCTGTCCCCTAGCCAGACCCTGGGGCCCCGTAGCGATAAGAGGACGAGCCCTCTCCTTGGGCGCAGAGGCCAGATAAGAAGCGCCGGGCAGAATCTTCCCCCCACCCCTCTTCTTTTCCCGCACTTAGGGAGGATCCTGCCCACTACTAAGAGCAGAACAGAGACGGGGGGGGGACGTAA